CATGGCTGGCTGTATAGCTGGGTGGCTAGCCTCTGATGTCCTCCTCTATTCTTATTTTTTATTCCTCCCTCTTCTCTCTTCCCAGATTTATTCTCCTATTTATTCTCTCTGCCTGGCAGCCTCGTCTATCCTTTCTCCTGCCTCACTATTGGCCATTCAGCTCTTTATTAGACCATCAGGTGTTTTAGACAGGCACAGTAACACAGCTTCACAGAGTTAAACAAACGCAACATGAAAGAATGCAACACAACACATCTTTGCATCATTGAACAAATGTTCCAGAGCATAAACAAATGTACCACATCCTAAACTAATATTCCACAACAGTCTTCCATCACAAATCAGGATTAAAAAGTAGAATCCAGAGCTGGCCTTGTGATCACCACTGTCGGGGAAGGGCCTGCTCTGCCCGGTCTCTAGTGTGCTCTTGATGTTTAATTTCCCATAAATGTCCACCGTGGCTGCTGAAGCTCCAGCCTTCGTATCAACATTCCACGAGTGCGAGACAGGAAGGCCACCATCGCGCCTGGCTCTCATCTGGCCTCTTCCCGTCGGGCACCAGCCACAGCAGCCATGGCCTATACCCTGGGAAAGGCAACATCATTCTCCCAGCGGGACCAGAAGAAAGATAAGGCACTGTGTGCTCCAGGCCCCAGCCCGTATGGAAGGGGCCTGGCCAATGTCTGTCTATAGCACAGAGGGAGAGAGACTAGATTGGGATTTACATGGGGAAGCGCGCGAGATCCACGACAGCAGGCAGAGCGAGAGGCTTGGGCACCATGGCTGGGGGTGCACAGCCCCTAACACAGTAGGTGCCCGCCCCGGCAATTACTACAGAGCTGCTGAGCTGCCAGCAGGGGGCGCCGAGAGCCCGACTCCCCCGACAGACTCCATTAGGCCCATCCTTCTCTCCCGATTAAATCTCCTGCAAAAGCAGCCTTCCCCGGGGAGGGAACGGGCTGTCATCGCCTGCAGGACGGCTTGCAGGGGTGGCAGGTGTCATCCCTAGGACCCTTGCTGTACCCTAGGGCTTTGGGCTGCCTTCACTCAAGCCTGCCCTGGACCTCAGGGAGGATATAGCCTTCCGCCTGTAGGCCAGCCCCACCCCGGCTTCGCCCTCTCAGTGGCATTTTCGATGACCGGCCGGTTCCTGCACTTTGGAGACTCATCAACAAGTTTTCTCAGGGATCCTTCTCCCTCGATGGCTCTCCATCACTGTGTTTTCTCCTCCCTGTGACATCCCCTGAAAACTGGCCACCCTCTCTTCCAAAGCCCTCCCTTGGATTCAATCTCCCCTTGGCTCTCTCTCACTCTCCCTATGGGCAACTCATGTCCCTGTTCCAGTTCTGACTCCTTCCCCAGACTCCGCCCCCTCTGACCAGCCAGGTGGCTTCTCCACCCTGTGCACCTGGCAGCCTGGTGACAGCTCTCACCGTTCTCAGTTCCCCTGGCCTCAGTGCCCTCCCTGACTCCTCCCCAGGCTCTCTAGACTACCCTCCATTCTACACCTCATACAGCTGAGGTGTCACCAACGGCGCTGGCTTCAAGGGCATGAATCCAGCCGGGCCGTGGTGGCGCACACCTTTAATCCCAGCACTCAGGAGGCAGAGGTAGGCAGATCTCTGTGAGTTCGAGGCCAGCCTGGTCTCCAAAGCGAGTTCCAGGAAAGGCACAAAGCTACACAGAGAAACCCTGTCTTGGAAAAAAAAAAAAAAAAAAAAAAAAAAAAAAGCATGAATCCTCAGAACTGACGATCAGGGCTGCCTCCCGCCACAGAACCCCAGGTCTATCTCGAGGAGAGACGCTGGGAACTACGATGTGAAGGCTCCTCCTGGGGACCCATTCCACACCAAACCAACCCCGATGAGGACGTATGACAGGTAAAGGCAGTGCATCAGCACTCCGACCTCTCTCAGCTGGGCGGTCACTTAGTGGACACAAATTATCAGCTCCCAGCATGCAGGCTCCTAAGGATGAAATGTGTGATGCTTCTCGGAGGCACGTGACCTCCATGAAGGGCAGCTAGCTATTTAGCTCTTACAGGCAGGTGGCTGGGCTAATGCAAGTGGCACTGTGATACATCAGTGTCAGGGGAGACATCCTGCAGCTCAGTAATCATGATGCAGAGCTCTCTGCCCCCAGAGGACCTCAGATTTGCCGTTTGTCCCCTGGCCTTAGTCAGTAAGTGGCTGATGGGGGACAGATGTGCCCAGAGGCAGTATTGATGGCCATGGCCTCTGGCCAAAGACAGAAGCTCTGAGTTAGAGACTGAGGCTGCTGGTCTTAGCCAACGGAGCATGCATCACAAGCACAGAGAGGCACTCGTTTTCTTACAGCGTGTTTATTTCCTCATCTTGATGGTCAATCGATTGTCGTTGAGAGCCATGGTCCAAATGATTGGGAGGAGACGCAAATATACATCTTCAGTGATGTTGTCTCTGTTCCCCGTCTCTCTCTAACAGTGTTCAAGGGCCCAGAACAAGCTTTAAAGTTCCAACTTTCCCTCCTCCAGGAGGGTTACACTGTTGTCAGGATCTGCCTTGCCACTCTTGAGTATGAAGAACCTTCTGGATTGGGGAATGGAGATATTTCTCAGTGGTTAGAGCACTGGCTACTCTTCCTAGAGGACTCGGGTTCAATTCCCAGCACTCAACATGGCAGATCACAACCATCTGTAACTCCAGTTCTAGGGGAGCTGACACCTTCTCCTGGCATCCGTGGGTACCAGGCATGCACATGATGCCTAGACATCCATGCAGGTAAAACATTCATATGCAAAAAAAAATGAAATTGTTTTCTTTAAAAGGGAACCTTCTAGATTTACAGTAGATAACTGCAAGTGTCTGCAGACATGAAGATCACCTGAGGGTCTGATAAGACCTAGATCACTGGGATCTACCCCAGTTTCTGGAGAGCAGATCCAGGGTCAAAGCTGACTGTCTCTCTGTAGATCCATATGCTCCAGGTAACACTGACAGCTCCAGGGACTTCATAGTGAGAAGCAATGAACTATGAGACAGGAATAATTTTCAACTATGGCATGGGACCTGGGCTGGGCTCCTCTGTCCAGTGCAAGGACACAATGGGCAGTCCCACAGGGCTGGTGCTGACCCCAGCTATTAGAGATGGCATACTCCGGGTGCCTGGCTATGTGACCAGGGCGGTGTCTCAGGCCCTGGTGAGTCTCAGCTTCACGCCCACCTGGCCCAGACTGCTGGCTCCCCTTTGGCTCATTTTGTTTCTACCCCCAGGTCTCACTTGCAAAGCCCCACTGCTCCCTCCTTCTCTCTCAGGAATTTGGCGAGGCAGTCTGGGACGAAGATGTCTGCAGAAGGACGCCCAGCCCCTTTGAGGGGTGCCACTAAGGGAGAGGCTCCTTGTTACTTGCCAAAGAGTGCGGCTTGGCGCCGGAAGTCAACAGCTTGCGCCCACCGCAGGCAGCAGAAGGAGCCAAGATCCCCAAGGATGCTGCAAACGGTTCCTTCCACCCACTGCTCCCTCACCATCCCTGGGAGGCAAGTAAGAGGTGACTGAGACCCACAGATGCTGGGAGGCGGTGAAGACATATCCCACAGCAGACATCGACACTTGGAGAAGAGGCACTTAAATCAGCAAGGAGGCCCTGGACTTAACACCAGAGAGCTATCTGCATGGCCGGTCTCTGAGGAAGGTCATACTCCCATCCCCACCCCCACCAAGCTGTCCTGTACAGATTCGAAGGGACTGTGGGCAGGACCACCTATCGACCATGGCTCTGTGGGGTCCATTTCCTACCACAGCCCCATGGAGCCCAGACAGAGGCAGCCCTCTGTAACGCTTCTGGAGAGAGAGAGGCAGAGGATGGAAGGAGGCAGGGAAGGGGAATGGGAAGAATGGAGGTAGAGGGTGCATGGTATTCTGGGCACAGTGAAGGGCGAGGTCCTGCAAGTGCTGATCTGGGCAAGAGCCAAAGCCTGGGCTGAGCAAAGGAGCTGAGGATAGACTGACACCCTTAAGCCCCAAGGGAGCCTCAGGCTTGAGGCAGACCGAAGGCGGAGCCTTCCTCTTGGAGCTATGGTGGTTCAAGGACAGGCTCAGGACTTCCGGCGCCCCACCCCCACTCCGGAAAGGAAATGAATCCAGACCCCCCCATAAACTCTCCTCCTCACCCAGGAAGAGCCAAGAAGGGTCCAGGGGCTCAAGGAGTCCAAGGGGGTTGCAGCCACTTGTCAGGTTAATTTACGGTGTTTGGATTCATCACAGAATAATTATCTCATCGATTTGCTGTTGGCGTGTTTATGGTTTCTGCTCTCAGATCAGAAAAGATATAGGAGAAGCTAAAGTAACTTTAATTATGGTAGCGCCTGGGAAATTCGAAAGTTAGCACTTCACATATTTTTAAATTCTGTAAAACAGAAGTGACCGTCCACAACAAAATTCTAGCACCGTAGGGCCAGGGGCCTGGAAGGTCACATCCTGACCCCAGAGAGAAGGTCCACTTGTATTCTGGGTGGGCTTGCCCTTCATTTTTAGAGACTAAAGGCCCCATCCTATATATGGCATCCATTTACTTCTCCCGGCCCCAGATGTTTATAACAGCTTTTCAATTCCCTATAAGGAGCCTCTCCTACTCTTCAGCCCTGTGTTTGAAGGTGCTGATAGTACCTCGGGCCAGGAAGGACCATGAGAATCCTGCTGATGCATCATGTGTGGGGCCAGAGGAGGGAAGGGATCCTGTTGAAGGCTGGACTTCTGCAGCCATTTTGCTACCCAGAGGTCAGTGCGTCTGATCAGGAAACCAAAACAGAAGAAGACAGGGCAAAGGAACCGAGCTGCCGTGCATGACTGTGAGTCAAGGCACCCACCCTCCGTCATTTTGCAGGGCATGCACACACAGGAGCCAAGAAGCTAAGGCCATTCTCTGCCAAATCCAGGCCTTAGTGTCCTGCTCAGCGGCAGAGTCTTGTCATTGGGTGTCACAAAAAAACCCTCCTTACAAATCAAAGAGCAGTGACTAGAGCTTGGAGAGTTAATAACTTTAATGAATCAAGTCAAATTATAATGAAGATGTAATACAATGGTTGAGGGGAAAAAAATCAGTGATCTTTGTCCCTAAGGCAAGTGTCAGAATTGACCCAGGTTTGTTTAAACTGCCGGGAGCATAGAATCAACAAAGACATGATGTACATGGTTTATTGAACTCATTGGTGCTTCTCTTGTCTTCCTACCCAGTCAGACTGGGCCCTGGGGCTGGGCTCCCAATTTCTGCCTCTCAGAATTGAGTCCTGCAGCTCTCCATCGAAAGCCTGAGGAGCCAAAGACAGGAGAAAGCATTCATACACTTCTGGACACCTGTCCCCATATGAAGAAGGTGATTTAGGCGCACCGCAGGATATAGAAGGAACCTGGAGCATCTCCTGTGTGGGAGGACATGTGAAGAACAATAATAGATCTTCTGCAGCAACCAGCCCTGCAGCTACCCCCAGAGACCTCATCCTTCACCTCCCCGGGGATGGGGCATCTCCGTAATCCCCTCACTAGCCTTAGCCTGGTCTCTGTTTTCCCCAGTTCCCCAAGCCTCAATGGACTGGAGGGGGACTTGACCCTTAGGGGCCAATATAATATGTCCTCACTCCTTTTCTAGTCACGGGATTTCAGGCCCAGCTTCTCCACCAGGCTCTATTGGAGAAAGGGTGGGGGCCACAGCTCACCACTCCCACCCATCTGGGGCACCATGGCCTGCAAAGAGAAGCTCTGGATGGTCCGGCTTCTCTCCTCATGCTCATCGGGAGCTTGTTCTGAACCACAACTGAGACTCATGGTATCGGACACAAGGCAGCTTCTGGAATACCTGGATAGTAGAATGTGCACCTCCAGTCAGCTCTGTCTGCCCGAGCTGTGCATAAGAGGAAAGAGCAAGACAGAACCCCTGTAAGACAAGTTGACCCCTCAGGGGTGGGAAGTGAGGGAACCTGCCCAGAGCCACTTGGATTGAAGCCACAGGCTCCCGGGGGCCTCTGGGACAGACCATGAGAGGACTCATGGATGAGATCATGTATTTCAGAAACCTCCAGCGTGTGAATGATTGATGGAGCTTCAGGCCCTTGGCTGGGCCTCAGCTTCTGTGCTCAGCACTATAAAGGCGACAGGGCAGTGACCGTGACACAGCTGGCATTAGACTTGATCAGATTCCTAACCCCCAGAGACTCCGCCAAGAGGGCCTGCCCACAGAGCGGGACAGTCTCTAGCGGCGCCTCAGGAGACATGGCAGTCACGGGTCCAGCATCCAGGAGTTAAATGGAGGCTGGGGGAGGCAAAGACCTTCCAGAGACCAGAAGCAGGTTGGCCTTGCACCGTCACGACTCATTCAGTCACTGCTGGGTTTGTGGTTGGTTCCTGATCCGCTACACCCCAGAAAAGGCCCCAGGGGGAGACTGTGTTGTGAATACCAAGGCCATCCCACCAACTGAACATCCCCTGTCAGAACAGTAACACAAGCTTCTTGGGCCTGACGGGGAAGAGAGAGCTCTGGAGTCCTCAGTCAGTACCAGACGAATGTAGGGGCCCACTCAGGATTGACAAGCTATGACACAGGTTGTTTAAACTGGGTGGGATGCTTGCCTCTTGTGGGTTTTTTTTGTCTTTTCGGCTCCTGAAAAGCTGTTTGTCTGAGAGCCTCGTTCTGAGCTGCGGCTTAAGTGACGGAAAGCAGAGAGGAAGACAAAGTGTGTGTCTCACACCCAGAGAGCTGGGGAAGGAACCGAGAAGGCAGCAAATTAGCAGCTTGAGCCGGTGAGAAAGCTGCAGGACGGACTAGCCCGGTTCCACAGGCAGACAGGTGCCTGCGGAGAGGAAGGGCCGAGGCGCGTGTCCTCGAACCAAGGCGGCTGAAAGACAAGACGGAACAAATGAGAGTGGTGTGGGGGCCGCTGGGGGAAGAAGCGCAGGGCTGTGGACACAGACAGGTTTGTTTAAGGTTTTCTTATGTTTGTTCTCTCTCTCTCTCTCTCTCTCTCTCTCTCTCTCTCTCTCTCTCTCTCTCTCCTGCTCCTGTGTGTGTGTGTGTGTGTGTGTGTGTGTGTGTGTGTGTGCGCGTGTGTGCACACGCGTGCACACACACACATGCATCTCTGCACGTATCTGTGTATCTCTGTACTCATACACAGAGGTCAAAGGACAACTTGTAGGAGTCGCTTCTTTTCTCCCGCCAGGTGTGTTCTAGTGATCAAACTCGGGTGATCAGGCCTAGCTGTACCCCCTTATCCACTGAGCCAACCTGATGGTCTTGTTTAGAATCGTCTTCTGGAAATCTACTAGGTACCCTCAAGGAAGGCAGGGGAGAAGACTGTGGAGAGAGCAGGGGCCCATGGTTACCCCTTCATCAGCCCAGAGAGAGGAACAAGGACTCCCAGGCCCTCCCCTTTCTGAGGTGTACCAGAACATGGAGTGCTACGCCCTAGGCACGGCTCAGGGTGAGTAGAGAGGAGGGTGAGGTCAGGCTGCTTCTGGCTGGCATTCTCAGGAAATGCCAAGGTCCCCTACAGGTGGGGCCCAAGGCACAGGCCAAACTCTAAGCCAGAGAGCAGAGCCTCACTAGAAATCAGGGGACATCTTTCTCCAACACCTATCATCACAGCATGAAGTCACATATTGAGGCACCTCGCACTGACTAGGGCTACTGTCTCACTCACTAGGAAAGGGAAAGACCCAAGGAGGTGAACCACGTTGCCCTGGAGGAACTGAGTCTAAGCGAGACAGGATAGCCATAGCAACAGTGACACACACACACACACACACACACACACACACACACACACACACCCCGCTTGTCCCCAACTCAGCTTGTCCCAATCAGTACAGTCCCTGCACTGAAAGTAGACAGCAGACCGCCAGTTCATCTCAAGCATACATACCACTCAGTAGACCCAAAACTCCTTCAGATACACTTCCGGCTTCCAGCAGAAGTCCTGAGATATACAAGACAAGATAAAAAATTAAAAAAAAATTTAAAAAAAACCACCCAGAGAAATCATCTCAGCAAGGCTCAGACGTAGCGCTGGACCCAGAGGCAGGAAATTAAAAACTTAGAGATAATATGTTAAAGGATCCGAGGGGAAAGATAACCAACGGACTGTTCGGTAGGTAATTTCAGTAGAAAAGGAACTACAAAAAAGAACAATGGGGTGATAGGAGAAAGCACAGAGGCGGAAACGAAGAAGTCAACCAGGAGGCTTGTCTGCATACTTGGCACAGCCCCCGCAGCGGGTCACTGGGTGTCACGATAGGTCGGGGGGGAAATTTCCCAGCGACAGACACAGAGGGCACAAGACAAAGCAGAATGAATAGAATTAGTCAAACAATAGCACAGATAAAACAGGCCAGGTCTTCCACAAACACTGGGACAAAATCCAAAAGTATAAAGTACCCATGCTCCGCAATCCCAGAGAGGGAAAAGAGAATAAACACAAGCGATATTTGGAGAAATAACGGCCGGGAAATTTTTTCCAGAACTAGTGACAACCAATCACAAATCCAGGACACTTAGCACAGAGGACAATAAACAGTAACGACAGAGACAAACATAGGCAAAGTCTGTACGAATTGCAAAATAAAGGAGAGAGACTGCTCAACCAAAAGGGCGACACAAACATAAGAACAGAGCTAAGATGAGTGTTCCAGACCGTGTCTTGATTCACAAAGGGAGACAGGATGTCAGGAATTTGTTACAGGAGAGAAAAGACTCAGAATTCCTTGGCCACTGAAAATACACCCCCCCCCCAAAAAAAAAAGTGAAGGAAAACTGAGGAGCTTCCTGTCAGTGGCTCTTCCCTACTTCCTATCTGCAGGCCTCCCATGATTCCTGCCGGAGAACCTCCCTTACTTCCTGTCAGCATAGCTCTTCTACTTCCTGTGATGTAAGACTCCTTTACTTCTCATCAATGAGCTTCCCCAACATCCTATCAGAGGGTCTTCTCTATTTCCTGTTAGAGAATCTCCCCTTCTTCCTGTTGGATGCCTTCCCTTCTTCCCATCAACAGACTTTCTCTACTTTACATCCTCAGACCCCTTCTACTTCCTGTGAACAGGCTTCCTCTACTTTCCTATGAGCAGGCTTCCTCTACTTCCTATGAGCAGGCTTCCTCTACTTCCTATGAGCAGCTTCCTCTACTTCCTGTGAAGAGGCCTCCTCTACTTCCTGTGAGCAGGCTTCCTCTACTTCCTGTGAGCAGGCCTCCTCTACTTCCTGTGAGCAGACCTCTCCTACTTCCCATTAGGGTCTTTACCTCTATGTACTTCCCAGTATCCTGTCAGAGGGCCTTCCCTACTTCAGACATCCCCCACTTTCTGTCAAGAGTCTCCTCCATCTCATCCCAGAGGACCTCCTCTTCAAGCAACGGCAAAGGCAGAGTCAGTTTCCCAAGCACAGGAACTCTAACATCGGCCAAAATGTGCATCTACAAAGGAAGAACTAGCCTAAGAAATAGAGTAAACAAAGATAAGAGATTGTGAATTTATTTTTAAGAAAATTGAAGCAAATAACTTTGAATTTTTTTTTCAAAAGAAATTGAAAGATCAGTGACTAGGTAATAATAGTGTTCTGTGGGCTAAATGTTTGTGTCCCTTCAAAGTTCATATGTTGAAATCCTCATTCAGGGGTGGGGCCTTTGGGAGGTGACTGGTCATGGGGTAGAGCTTCATGAATGGGATTAGTACCCTATAAAAGAGATCCCAGAGATCTGCCTCACCGATTCCACCATAAGAAGACACAGAAAGATATTAGCTACGACCCAGATAGCCTGGACTACACACCAGATCTGCTGCTGTCTTGGCCTTGAACTTCTCAGACACCAGAACGACAAGAAAATAAGTTTTTGTTATCCACAAGTGTCACTAAAATCCTTTCCTGGGGGAAACAGGAACAATGTCTAATAAGACTTTCTCCTAAGGCCTTAATGACAAGGTAGAGTTCATTCCCACCACAGTTCACCCTGGAGAACCAATGAGTTTGGGGGTCTACTTACAGAGCATGGATGAGGATTTGCTGATGGGAGCATGGGTGACCCCAAAGCACTGGAGTCTTCTGCCAGCACAGATAATGGTTTCCCCATAGCTACATAGATAGAGTCTCCTTTTGTTAACCTTCTCTGTCTATATACTCTAGCACCTCCCCTAGACGCTAAAGCCATGTGCTATTAGGGCAAAATTGCATACAAAAGGTGGGGAGGGGTAGCTAGACTATCAAGAGAGAGTCTAATGACCCTCCCCAACCCCTCCGTCTCTGAGGGAATGTCAACAATCCACAGGCCCTATTGGCATGGACGCTCACAGTTAGACACAGCTGATCTCATGAACATGCCCGCAATTTGGCTCTGAGGATAGCGCTTACCACAAGTCACTCTGTTTATGGTATTTGTTCTAATAGTTCAAACAGACTGAAACCAACAGGAACAGCAACCAGGGCACATACAATGCAAAACAAAAAAACAAAAACAAAAACAAAAACACTGAAATGTGAAAATAGCAGCACCGGGTTCTCACACTCATGTTCAAGTCAGCGTTCTCTTCCTCAAAGATGGAGTCCAATTCCCTGAAAATGAGGATTATGAACAATAATTCAATCACCAGATTTTTTCGTTTAATTTAAAATTAAATTAAATTAATTTAGTTTTTATTTTTAAATCAACGAAGAAGATAAAGTGGAATGTGGTTGTGTGTGATGTTTCCATCAAGGACAGAGCACACGGAGGATAGTAGTCCCGTGGACTGTAGCACCTAGTAAGAACGTGGCCAACTGAGAGTACATTCTCCGATGTACGCACGAAACCCCACAATCACCCAGTCAGACATTCCTCAGAACGCAGCCTCTGGTCCTTCAACAAAGCCTGATTGTGTTAAGAGATGCTTGCTTGAACTCAGGCAGGGAAGAGGGGAAACAAAGACCAAAGAACAAATGGAAATCACAAAACTGCTAACAAGATGGCAGATAGACTCCCATTCCATCAGTAATCACTTTAAGTATGGGCACGAGCAAACACCAGGAAACACACAAAGATCATGGAACACGATGAAACAGAGCAAGAGCTAAATGCAGGCTGTCTGGAGGGAGCCCAGATTTACATAAAAACACACACATGAGCTGAATTTAAAAGGAGGACGGTGTACCAGGCACTTTGCTGGCCGTAAGAAACCGGAATAAGCTCATCGATTTGGGCAAGATAGATGTTTGGGGGAAAAGCAGAACATTACCTAGTGATAAAAGGTTCATTCTCCAAACAGACATAATGGCTTCAAATATCTATGTACCCAACAACAGAACTCCAAATTACACGAAGTGGAAGCTGATGGAACTGCAAAAGGAAATTGACAGATGCACAATTAGGGTCCGGGACTCCCACATGGCACTGTCGGTAATTGATAAAACATTGAGGCAGGAAATCGGTGAAGGTATCAATGACCCTGGCAGCGTTATCCACCAGCTTGACCTAAGGGACACGCCACAGCAGCCTCCACCACCACAGCGCAGCGGGCTTCACCCAGGCTCTCACAGGACTGATTAGCCGTCCATATTCTGGACCACAAAAATTAAAGAACATAAATCCCGCAAGTGTGTTCTTGAACCATAATGGAATTTAAGCAGAAATCAATAACAGAAAGGCATCTGGAAAATCTCCAACTATTCAGAAATTGAACAACACATTTCTAAATAACCCATGAGTCAAAGAGGAGGTCCTAAAAAAAAATTAAATGCATACATTTAAGTTCGCATTCATCTTGTATATTATAACGACTAGAACATTCTGTGTCCCAATGTGTGAGCTGTGTTTAAAGCAACACTTACCAGAAGTTTCAGACTATCCCATGCACAGCAAAAAGAGGAAGCTGTGTAATAGCTTGCCTGCTGGAGTTTATACACAGTCTTTCCCATGAAGCACAGCATAGCTCAGTCTTTGCCCAGAAGCACACTCTCTTTTAGAGTGTACCTCAAGGGTCTGAGGTGTATCTGGGCTGGTAGGGCACTTGCCTGGCATGCATAAGGTCCTGGGTTCCATTCTCAGCACCATATTAAAAATTAAAACATGGTAAAATGGACTTTTGAAAGTAAAACCACAAGGCACGCTGGGTTGACAGCAGTCAACCTTCCTCCACACCAGCACAGGTCAAGTCTGACTGGAACAGTCAGTGCACTTTCCTCTGAATGGCTTCCTCTAGTACAGCAGCCGAGCATCCTGTCCTACCTCTCAGTACCTTGGGCTCATCTATCACCATTAAACTGGTGATAGAGGCAGAGGACCTGAACAACTCTTGAGCTTCTGCTCTGTGCATTCTCCCTGAGATGATATTATTATTACTATTTATTATTATTATTATTATTATTATTATTATTATTATTATTACTATTATTATTAATCTTAGGGGTTTTTTTTTACTGTGAAGAGGCACCATGACCATGGCAATTCTCATAAAGGAAAACATTTCACTAAGGCTGGCTTACAGTTCAAAGGTTTAGTCCATTATTGTCATGATGGAATCATGATGGCATGCAGGCTGACATGGTGCTGGAGAGGTAGCTGAGATTTCTACAACCAGACTGGCAGACAGCAGGAAGAGAATGAGACACTGGGCCCAGCTTGAGCATCTGAGACCTCAAAGCCTGCCCCAGTGACACACTTCCTCCAAGAAAGCCATACCTACTCCAGCAAAGTCACACCTTCTAACAGTGCCATTCCCTCTGAACCTATGGAGGCCATTTTCATTCAAATAACCACCACCACCACATCATCATGATCATGATCATCATAATCATCATCATGATCATCACCATCATCATGATCATCATCATCAACATCATTATGATCATGATAATCACCATCACCATCATCACCATGATCATCATCAACACCATCACCACCACCATATCATCATCATCATCACCATCATCACCATCATCATCACCATTATTGTGGGGAAACATCTGGAACTGGCCAGGTCACCAGAAAACACAAACGAGAAAGTTACCATTAAAACTCCCCCAGCAAGAAACATGGCAGGCACAATTCAACTCTGAAAGAGGAACAGCCTTGCCCCATTGGCCCAGAAATGAAGTGTTCCCACCAGAGAAGGGGCAGGCCGTGCCCTCCATCCAGGAGCCCTCTACAACAACAATGGTGATGATATCCCATTTCTTAGAAAAATCTGTGCAATATTACTGATTTTTGTTGTGTTTTGTTGTTTATGTTGAGGTTGTGCCAGCTTTTAAGAATTGCATTTTGGATCAAAATCCAGTTTTCTGGTTCCTCCTGAACATTCCAAATATCTGCGTCCCGGGGCTGTACAGTGCAGCCAGCACCAAGCAGTGGCTGCCGTCCTTACCTGGGCCACACAGTTTTGATTGATTCGATCTGGTGTCGTGGCAGCTGTGGCCTGGTTGGCTCTTCCCTTAGTCCACC